CTTTTAGTTTGGCATCAAAAGGACGAAACTTTGGCGATGTCTTCCAAAAGACGTTGGAGTGGAACGACATCATAGAAGAGGCCGACAATGTGTTGAATGAGTTCGAGAATATCAAGAGAGGAAACGCAAGAATGTCGAGAAGGGGGTCACTCCTGCAGCCCAGGTATATCTTCTTGAGTCCACACCCAGAGGTTACGTACGAGAGAGTCCTTCAAAGCGCTAATTCTCTACCACTGAGAGCGTGGACTTCAGAGTTATTTCTTGAATCCAAAGAGAGCTCACAATTAATGGATTCGGAGAACCGACAGAATCTGAAGTGGAACGCATCGCTCGAAGACTTTAGACACCTGTTGTCTCCAGAACTGAGCCATTTTGGTAACGATGTCTACTCCGGGATGATTGAGGCCAAGCGACGACTGAGTCTTTGTCCGCCACAACCCGTCACTCAGTCTATACATTTCCGTCGTAACAGTTATCTAAACGGAGAGGTTTGGGCACAAAGTGATAGCAAGTGTCATAAAAAGAGAGACTATGACCATAAACTTGGAGTCATTAGACAGAACTCTGGAGTCAATTCTGTGAATATTAGTCCAGAAATGGTAAAAAAGTCTCAAACATCTAACGGTTTGCTAACTGTTCCCGACCCAACTGTTCACATCAAAAGTAATTAAAGTTAAATTATGATGAGTTCATTGGTTTTTTAATAAATAAATATATTTTCTTAGAGAATGGTGTCAACTATAAGCGAAATGATAGCAATGAGTCGATTGAGTTCATTGATATTGAAAATATGAGCCCAAAAGTGGTGGCAAATGAGTTGACTCTTATCGTCAAAGAATTGTTTTTATCACTAAATGGCACTGAAATCATAACACTATTAATTCGACCAAATTCTATAAGCCCTGTAAGTCATGAAATTATTACTTTAAATAGATTTTGTAAATACCAATATTAATAATACATTGAATACTACTTATAATATTTCATATTTGAACTTAAAGTCCAAACTAGGAAACTGAATAAATTAATAGAATTCCAGTTACAGTAGAAATATAAGAGAATATTAGAAAAAATGTTTGCACTTTACTTTCATTTTAAATGTAATATTATATTACTAATAAGTCATAACTTACTAAAGTTATATAATAATTTGTTACCTAATAAATTGTACAGTATAACTTTATTAAGTGATATAACGTGTACTGTTCATATTATCTAATGCAATAATTTGTTATCAATAAGAATAAGCATAACTGAATAACTTATACATGTAATTATCCAGGGCACTTGTTCCAATATCGCCGCGCTATTGGGCTTTCAAAAGCGGACAATTCAATTGATATCAAGTTATTTACTGAAACTAATTGATCCTGAAATATGTGCCAAAAGAATCGCTTACTTTATTGAGGTTTGATTTTGTGTATACTTTTTCAAATTGAATATTAATTATGATTTGCATAAAAAGGTGGCAAAAGAACTGAAAGCTCTACAGAATTGGCATTCAGTCTACTCTATAATATTAAGTCTTCAAAGTCCTCCCATCGCGCGACTACGCGAGTGCTGGCAAATCGTATCAAATCACTTTTCAGACAATTACTGCGAATACATTGAAATGTCGGAACAACTCAAGGCAGACGCCGACCCTCTGACCTATACTTCCCCTTCAATCCCATTATTCAGTGATTTAATGGATTACTTGAAGGAAAGATGTGGTGCGAAGTACTTTGAGATTAAAAGTCATCGCTTACGGAGTCACTGGTCTAAAAGGGAGACAATTGCCGTATGGGTTGACCAACAGATTGACGACTTGATAGGTGTGGCCAAAGATAAGAAGAAAGTACAGAAAAGAGTGGAATATATTCGTAAAACTTCAGTAGAAGGGCAAAGAAAAGGGGTTTTCAAGAAATTATTGACCAAAAGAAGTGGCAGTAATAAAGAATATTCCGATTCCATGAGTAACGACACCGACAGCCGGAACAGTTCCATCACATCCCTAAACAGCGAAAAGTTGAGATTAAGACTGATGTCCGAAAAGAGTGCGAAGCCTTCGTGTAAAAACATTTGGTCCGTCGCCGACATTCAGAGATTACGCGAATTCGATGAAAAGGAGATTCTGGAGGAGATTGTCAGAGGACTGGTATGTTACCAGAGATATGCCAACGACTATCAGCTCAATGAATCGGTTCAGAGCGTCAGAGATTTCCTTTTATTACAGCCATATAAGGGTATGAATTTCATTAATTTAGTTATCGTTTGTAATTAATATTTAAATGACAACTGATTCACCAAATATTTATTTTATAAATTGAGATAACAGTTTCCAAATCTTTGACTCACACTTTTATGTGATATGAAATCACTGATATCTTTCTCAGAATTCAATCATTTAATGCAATTTTATTATATTTTACAGAACTGGACGCCTGTCTCAAGAGATCCTATTTATTAGAGCCTAAAAGTGTGAAAAAGTCTTCCAATCATATTGTCGTATAAGTGATTAAAATACAAATTCAAAGAATTCTATTGTAAAAATTTAACTTTTTATTATTATCTGAATATTTGTAACAAAAGTCAGGTTTTGTTTATTTTGAAACATGACTTAACAAAACAATGACTCAAATTAAATTATTGTAACTATTAAACAATTATAAAAAATATTTTTGGAGAATTTATTTTAACCCCCAAACAGTTTTAATGTAAAATACAAAACATTATACTTTTATTAGTAAACAAATCAAACAATTTTGTATAAAATAGTAACAATTATTTTGATTATAAAAATACCAAGACACAATTCTAATGGTTTTAATCAGCAGTAAATGCCTGAAGTCCAGTAATAGCCCGACCGAGTATTAGGGCGTGAATATCATGAGTTCCCTCATATGTGTTGACCGCTTCTAAGTTCATGACATGTCTAATGATATGATATTCATCACTGATCCCGTTCCCACCCAGCATGTCGCGTGCATTTCGAGCGATTTCCAGAGATTTTCCGCAAGAATTCCTCTTAATCAACGAAACCATCTCTGGTTTGAGTAAACCCTTGTCTTTGAGTCGAGACACTTGAAGGCACGCCTGAAGTCCTAGCGATATCTCAGTCAACATATCCGCCAACTTCTTCTGAATCAATTGGTTCTTCGCGAGCGGTCTCTTGAATTGTTTGCGCTCTAAGGTATAGTTACGGGCAGTCGTCAAACAAAACTCGGCCGCACCTAACGCTCCCCACGATATGCCTAACCGGGCGTTATTCAGGCATTCAAACGGACCCTTCAGTCCATCAACAATTATTTTGATTATAAAAATACCAAGACACAATTCTAATGGTTTTAATCAGCAGTAAATGCCTGAAGTCCAGTAATAGCCCGACCGAGTATTAGGGCGTGAATATCATGAGTTCCCTCATATGTATTGACCGCTTCTAAGTTCATGACATGTCTAATGATATGATATTCATCACTGATCCCGTTCCCACCCAACATGTCGCGTGCATTTCGAGCGATTTCCAGAGATTTTCCGCAAGAATTCCTCTTAATCAACGAAACCATCTCTGGTTTGAGTAAACCCTTGTCTTTGAGTCGAGACACTTGAAGACACGCCTGAAGTCCTAGCGATATCTCAGTCAACATATCCGCCAACTTCTTCTGAATCAATTGGTTCTTCGCGAGCGGTCTCATGAATTGTTTGCGCTCTAAGGTATAGTTACGGGCAGTCGTCAAACAAAACTCGGCCGCACCTAACGCTCCCCACGATATGCCTAACCGGGCGTTATTCAGGCATTCAAACGGACCCTTCAGTCCATCAGCTTTCGGAAGCATATGNTGAATTGTTTGCGCTCTAAGGTATAGTTACGGGCAGTCGTCAAACAAAACTCGGCCGCACCTAACGCTCCCCACGATATGCCTAACCGGGCGTTATTCAGGCATTCAAACGGACCCTTCAGTCCATCAGCTTTGGGAAGCATATGATTCTCCGGAACTTTGATGTCTTCCATAGATATCATTCCCGTCTCAGAAGCTCTCAAAGAGAACTTTCCATTGATTTTAGGCGTCGACAACCCCTTCATCCCTCTCTCCAAAATAAAACCTCGGATTCTGTTCTCATAATTGGCCCAAACGACGAAGACGTCAGCGATGGGCGCGTTTGTGATCCATGTTTTGGTTCCGTTTAGTGTAAATGTCTTCGAACTCGAATCGAAGACAGCCTTCGTTTCCATACTCGACGGATCACTTCCGTGGTTGGGTTCAGTCAATCCAAACGCGCCTTTCATTTGCAAATCAATTGGTTTATTGAAACAATTCACAGAAAACTAGTGCTTCAGACCTATTAGCGATCCCTTCGCCAGTTGTGGTAAATATTTATCTTTTTGTTCTTCACTTCCAAACGCATAGATCGGATGCATTACAAGAGACGACTGGACGCTAAACGCCGACCGATAACTGCTGTCAACTCTTTCCACTTCTCTGGCGATGAGTCCGTAGGCCACGGATGAGACATTAGGACATCCGTAGCCCTTAATGGTTGGCCCCAACACTCCAAGACTTCCCATTTCTGTCATTATATTTCGATCAAAGCGTTCGGTTCTGTTGTCCTGAAGAATCCTTGGCATCAATTTGTCGGCACAATAGGTGCGGACCTGATCTCGGATTTGGATCTCGTCTTCAGTCAGGTTGTGGTCCAACAGCAGAGCGTCCGTCCAATCAAAGCCCGACGACTGCCTCTGCGGTGAGCTATGGAACCCATTCCTCGCCGAAGATATGCAACCATTTTGTGCAAACAGTTGAGACAATCGGAGGTCATTGGAGGCATGCCTTAAATTTCTGAGCAAATGATTTGAACACAATTTATAAAACATATTGAATTAAATTGAGATCTCAATTGTATTTAAATGTAATAACTCTTGAAATGAATGTCACTTTTATTGCCTTTAATTGAATTAATATTCAAACAAAAAGTTTGCAACAATTTTTAAGTCTTTAATATTATGAGACTAAATGTCTATGAAATTATGACGATATAAACTGAGATAATTACTAAATTATAAATCATTTGTTACATAACTGTTGAATAAACATTTGATTACTCGATAAGTGAACAAGATAACTTTTGCTTCACTAAGAAAACAAGTTTCCCTTCCCATGGGAACCCTTCCCACTGAATGCAGCGCTCGTACTGTGGAGACGATCCCTCGCATCGAGTGAAGTGATGTTTTGCCGGAGATATTGATTATTTGGTTTGAAAGTAGAGTCACTTCACTGACAGTCACTTGTATTGACACAACCACTGAAAGCACTGCTAATCACAGTTAAGGCCCTCTTTGGCACTCAAGATGATGAATGTGGGCTCACCTATGGATGGACAACAACAGGGACAGACCTGGTCTGTACACCACATCCCCTATCAATCCCTTTTCATGCAAATTTATAAAACATATTGAATTAAATTGAGATCTCAATTGTATTTAAATGTAATAACTCTTGAAATGAATGTCACTTTTATTGCCTTTAATTGAATTAATATTCAAACAAAAAGTTTGCAACAATTTCTAAGTCTTTAATATTATGAGACTAAATGTCTATGAAATTATTACAATATAAACTGAGATAATTACTAAATTATAAATCACTTGTTACATAACTGTTGAATAAACATTTGATTACTCGATAAGTGAACAAGATAACTTTTGCTTCACTAAGAAAACAAGTTTCCCTTCCCATGGGAACCCTTCCCACTGAATGCAGGGCTCGTACTGTGGAGACGATCCCTGGCGTCGAGTGAAGTGATGTTTTGCCGGAGATATTGATTATTTGGTTTGAAAGTAGAGTCACTTCACTGACTGTCACTTGTATTGACACAACCACTGAAAACACTGCTAATCACAGTTAAGGCCCTCTTTGGCACTCAAGATGATGAATGTGGGCTCACCTATGGATGGACAACAACAGGGACAGACCTGGTCTGTACACCACATCCCCTATCAATCCCTTTTCATGCCATTCCTCGTATTAACGAATATTTCATTGACTTATTGCCATTTGAATGGTCGCACGATGTGATCGCCACTGACCTACCGATGCCACTGACCTACCGATTCAACTCGTGGTACCGTTGGCTGCGGTGATGATGTGGTGCTGATGGACAGGTGGGTGGAGTCGTGGTCGAGTCAGATCGCCACAGCACTGGCGCTGGTGTTGGTTCTGTGCGGACTGTTGACTGCCATCAGTCCC